AGAGACCCACTGTCCCTAACAAATATGTCGTAAAAGTCGATTAATTAGAGGGCTGTTTCCTTATAAAAGAGCGCATCTGTTTGACAGGCCAGGAGCCAACAGTCTGCATACAAATAAACCAGATGTGTAAAATGGATGTGCACAGAACACTCAGGTACAAGAGCATGACTCAAGTCCAGGAGTGGACGAAACAACCAGAACTGTCCGCCGGAGTCAACAGCCGGTAAATGCCAAGAAGATGATACCATCTTGTGCTAGGTGCCGTCTTGCTCCGCTCAGCCCGTCTATTTCTCTGTATATTCTTCGTAGCGATAATGAAGCCACCACCTGGGTCTGTTATCGTTGCATCTGTATAACATTGCTATCTCTCTCTGGTGCCCTGTCTGTTGCCAATCTTTTTACATGGCCAAACCATCTGATTTATTTGTTGTCGACCTGTAAAGTTCCGTATTGATTCTGTGCCGACTCTCTTCCTGATATCATCGTTTCTAAGTCGATCTTTCCTTGTTACACCTAGTTAGTGAATAGACATGTCATTTCTGTCGTGACTATTTTCCTATTGTCTTCTGAAGACAGTGTCCATGTTTGACATTGACAGCAGAGTACTGGTAAGAGTGTTAAACAGTGTTCTTTTATTATTTATATTCACAGGATTGCATTTCACAATTGGTGCCATTTGGCCTAAAACTTGATTGTCTTTATTGTATCTTTGCTGGATTTCTTTATTAATTCTTCCGTCTTCTGAAAAAATGCTCCCCAGATATGTAAAATCCTTTACAAGCTTTAATTGGTGTTCATATATTTTAATATTGGTGGTTCTTCCTTTTTTGGAGAATATCATCATTTCTGTTTTGCCTATGTTGATCTACACATTACAGTTGTCGCATTCTGAGTGGAGTCTATTCATATCTTTTTGTAATTGTGTTGTTTGTGGTCTACAGCTGGACGAGCAGCCCTCTCTTGTGTCGTTTCGGAATGTCTTTTCTCCCATGTGGGTTATAGGGCCCCATGTTGGGTGGAAGAAGAGACCCACTGTCCCTAACAAATATGTCGTAAAAGTCGATTAATTAGAGGGCTGTTTCCTTATAAAAGAGCGCATCTGTTTGACAGGCCAGGAGCCAACAGTCTGCATACAAATAAACCAGATGTGTAAAATGGATGTGCACAGAACACTCAGGTACAAGAGCATGACTCAAGTCCAGGAGTGGACGAAACAACCAGAACTGTCCGCCGGAGTCAACAGCCGGTAAATGCCAAGAAGATGATACCATCTTGTGCTAGGTGCCGTCTTGCTCCGCTCAGCCCGTCTATTTCTCTGTATATTCTTCGTAGCGATAATGAAGCCACCACCTGGGTCTGTTATCGTTGCATCTGTATAACATTGCTATCTCTCTCTGGTGCCCTGTCTGTTGCCAATCTTTTTACATGGCCAAACCATCTGATTTATTTGTTGTCGACCTGTAAAGTTCCGTATTGATTCTGTGCCGACTCTCTTCCTGATATCATCGTTTCTAAGTCGATCTTTCCTTGTTACACCTAGTTAGTGAATAGACATGTCATTTCTGTCGTGACTATTTTCCTATTGTCTTCTGAAGACAGTGTCCCATGTTTGACATTGACAGCAGAGTACTGGTAAGAGTGTTAAACAGTGTTCTTTTATTATTTATATTCACAGGATTGCATTTCACAATTGGTGCCATTTGGCCTAAAACTTGATTGTCTTTATTGTATCTTTGCTGGATTTCTTTATTAATTCTTCCGTCTTCTGAAAAAATGCTCCCCAGATATGTAAAATCCTTTACAAGCTTTAATTGGTGTTCATATATTTTAATATTGGTGGTTCTTCCTTTTTTGGAGAATATCATCATTTCTGTTTTGCCTATGTTGATCTACACATTACAGTTGTCGCATTCTGAGTGGAGTCTATTCATATCTTTTTGTAATTGTACTGCTGTTGGTGATTTGACTGCCTGGTCATCGGCGAAAAGCAATTCATTTAGTAATTCTCCGATGTTGACATAGAAAGGGAAGAAAAAAAAAACCACACATCACCAACACCACTGCAAACCTAACTCCGTTTATATGTGTTGTACAGTTGTGGCAGACAGGCATCAAAATGTGTTTTCAAAACTGGCATTTTCTCCATGTATAGACACTCGCGGGACTTCATGTGTGTTATTCTTGTCAATGTAAGTTTTTCTATCTTTTTGTGTGTGTTATATTCTCCACCTTTATTTCCCACCTTACTTTCGTCTTTTCCCACTCTCACTTTCTTTTCTTCCTTTACATTTTACATCTACTCCTCTTCCTATTGCCCCCCCCCCCCCCCCCCCCCTGTCATCATGTTCTAATTATTTCTCTTGACTTTCTGGACATCAAAGAAGTACTGTAACATCCTTCGTTCAACGAATATGCAAACCATTGAGAATGGAACAAGAACCCTTACATCGCAACAAGCTGTGCTCCCTTATTGCCTGCCCAACGTCCACAGCTGCGATATCTCAGCCAGCTCAGAGAATGTACCCGAACCCAAATCCAACAAAAGCTGTGGTAATTTTACAATGATAATATCTGGCGCTCACTGGTCCCAACTGTCACTGCAACAGATTGCGCCCTGATTACCCCGGGATAACAAAGAAGAAGAAACTGCGACTTGGTCGAAGTTTATTGCAATAATACTTTCATTTCACGCGGCACACCAGGCTGGTCGATAACAGCATCGCAGCTGTTTCACCGCCATTTCTTTATGAGATTTAGCAAGGATTTCATGTAATCTCGCCTGGGCCAATATGAAAAGAAACCTATTGTTCATTTGGCTGCTAAATGAGCAACTCTCAAACAAAATGGCGGGAAAGAAGATAGGCGGTACGTCACTCCCGCAATAGAAGTGGTATTTTTATTATAATTAGCAAGTCTCCCGTTTCTGTTGTGAAACAAATTGCCTGTGAAAGGAATCATATTTACCGTCGGCGGCGTGATGTAAAGATTGAATGCCTATCTATTCCTAATTCAGATGCACCAGGTATGAATTGAGGTTCCAATTTGATATGTCCTCGTGTGTGTTTCGATACCCCGGGGGGGGGGGGGGGGGGGGGGGACAGTGCCTCAGAATAAGCATGTCGGAAAAGGCGGGTAATTATAGATTTGCTAAAGTCGGATTGTTGTGCCGAAAGGAGCAGCTATCGTAGCAGATCAGCTGTAAACCACAACACAACGTGCTAATCTCCAGTATAAGGACGAATGCGGATAAAGAAGAAAAAGGAACAACAATGATAACAACAACAACAGTCACAAGAGGCAGCAGTTAATACATGTTAAACTTTAAGGTGATACTTGGGTAATGTATCGGGCGTCTACTTTCTTTAGATAAGGACGAAAAGCTATCATCAGACAGCTGGACAAGACCAAGCCCAGCAGCACAGTGTAAAAGCTAACTGTCGAGGTTAGTAAACTAACAGACACCATAATAGTTTGTTTGGTGGTGGTTGTTGCAGTGTTGGTGGTTACAGTGGTGGTGGTGGTGGCGCTATACGTCGCACAAATGAGGCCCGTAACCGGTGCTGGATTTAGGCATGAGCTAAGCTGGAGCTTAGAGCTCCACAATTTGCAGGGGCCTCAACAAATTCATATTTTTTCCACAAATGCAATTTTATTTTAATAGATCCTTGAAGCGAATTCTATTATACAATGTCTGTGATTGTTCAGACACATCCATTATAATTTCTTGTTCTGGTGTATTTATTTTAATGATTTATGAGAACAGCTGACGTAATTTAAATCAGTAGGGGCCTCAGGGCTTTGTATATTGTAAGGCCTCTTGAAGCCTGACCTTGCCCGTAATGCCCACAGTAGGCCATTTGGTCAGAATACCCTTTGTCTTCCTAGTGTCTTTTTAAACATTGCCAGGGAGGATTCGGGGGTGGGGGAGGGAAGAGAGAGAGAGAGAGAGAGAGAGAGAGAGAGAGAGAGAGAGAGAGAGAGAGAGAGAGAGAGAGAGAGAGAGAGAGAGAGAGAGAGAGAGAGAGAGAGAGAGAGAGTCCAAGTCTGCCATATTGGCTATCGAATACTGTTTGCTCACGAAAACACACAGCACCATACCAAATCTCTAGAATACCACGGAAGAGACATCTTCCAATACTTTGCCCTGGCTAGTTTCTGGCCCCTAATTTTGCAAGCTACTGCATTCGTGGACTACACAACCCCTTGAAGCTACAAGAAAAAAGCCCAAAACCTTTATTTAGACTCGTTAAGCAAAGACCTCTTTGGGCCTGCCAACTCGGAATGTCTCCAGTTTGTGCAAACAGCACAACCTTTAGCAGCTCGGGCTCTTTCCTGTCCTCGTCTGATTTGGCATGCCAGGTAAAGGACGCGACTGTAGGCTGAAGATTTAAAACACACAATCTTTAGGTCAAGCTGGCATTTTGGAAATGGGAAGGCGCAGCCATCTTAATTAACAGGATAGAGTAGGGGGCTGAAACGTAATTGGCTGGCACCCTTCAGACTCAACAGCCAGTTTCCGAATGCCAATCAGTAGAAACATGGACATCCTTGTTGTAAGAGCGGGTCTTTTCTTCTGTTTCACCCCATCTCGGGGCTTCGAGATTTTGGGGGTTTGGGGAATCTCTGGAAAGTCCAATAGTATAGGAATGTGAGGGTTAGGGTTACTGTATCCTCATCATCATCGCCATCCTCATCATCTTCTTCTTCTTGCCCACCGCTTCATAAATGGGACCTAAGAACCCACCTTGATATGCACACACACACACGCACACACACACACGCACACACACACTCATGGTCTCCTTGGTGAAGTGGTAAAGCCGTCTGCCACCCGCTCTGAAAGTCCCAGTTTCGTTTCAAAGCTGCATCGTTTTGTTCATAAGTGAACGTTTTTATGGAGATCACCGGGGATCGTCACCGGAGCTACAGTGCACGTATTTTGTGCTACGCTCTCGGTAGACAGCCAGACTTTCTACAGAAAGAGACCTAAACATACGAGATTAAACCCGCTGCAAAGAAATGGATGCTCTCGACTTTAAATCCACGAAATTCACAAAAAGGATACAATCTACCATTGACCCGATGCTGGCGATGGGCTCTGTCTTGTAGAACTTGCGGAACTCCTTTCGCAGATCGTAGAAGCGATAGAAGTAGCTGGGCAGAGGGATGTTCTTCTTACAGCACTCGTTGTGCAGGCACTGGCGAAGATGTGCCTGTCCGTCTGTCAGCAGAAAGAAGGAGCGGCCTCCGTGATTGGGATGGACGCCCTTGGCAGAGAGAAATCTGTCGAACTGGAGGTAAGAACAGGAAGAAAAAAATTAGATTGGTTTCAACTTAACTGTTAATAAATGAGAGCTTGCACAGAAAAAAAAAAGAAGTCCATAAATTAATGTTGTAGATTAAAATATAGTCGATAAATTAAAACAGTGCAGGAAAAGTAATCGACGAATTAATTCAGTGCAGGAAAATGTAGTCGATAAGTTAATGCAATATAAGAAAGTAGTTTTCCAAGTAGGAAAATAAATTAATGATTTCCGTTGGCTCCATGCTGCATGTGTAATGACGCAACTTTCCTAAACAAATGGCGGGTACTAGTTATCTAAACAAATGGCGGGTACTAGTTATCTAAACAAATGGCGGGTACTAGTTATCTAAACAAATGGCGGAATCTAGTTATCTAAACAAATGGCGGGTACTAGTTATCTAAACAAATGGCGGGTACTAGTTATCTAAACTAATGGCGGGTACTAGTTATCTAAACAAATGGCGGGTACTAGTTATCTAAACAAATGGCGGGTACTAGTTATCTAAACAAATGGCGGGTACTAGTTATCTAAACAAATGGCGGGTACTAGTTATCTGCTGACTGGGAGCAATACACTTGTTGATGATAGTGGGCACAGATGATGCCAGTGGAAATTTAAACAGATTGTGAATTTCGTTATTGATTCTCACTCTCCATTGCCCGTTTTTTTTTTTTTTTATCTCTGATGGGTCAAAAGATTCGTTCAAACATGTGCATTGATACTTCATTTATTTTAGTTGTGCTCCAAGTTTCAGAGCCCCATAAAACAACACTAAATATAGTTAACATTTTAAAATTATGAGTAGACAAAAATAGGGAACGAAACAATATTAGGCTCCTTTATTCATATCTGGGATGACTTCAGTCACAAGATCTAAGAGCCTTTCTTATCTGCTTCTTGAAGTAATCTTCTCTCAAAGAGTCCAAGATGGTTCCTTACAGTGGCTCTCCACATTAAGAGATTACGTTTCTCTGGTTGTGACATCTAAACTCAACCGTGCCGCATGTGATTTTGCTTGTATTTGAATGGAAGCTTTAAGGGCTTCTTCTGGCCTTTTCTCGCTTCTTGTTTGTTATTGTTGTTGTTGTTGTTCCTCTTGTCCTGCCACTTCTTCTCCTCACAATTTGACTAAAATAACTGACGACTGCCTCTTTCTGATGTTTGTAACAAGATGCCTTGGAGCATCTTTAAAACATCTAGCTGCTCTGTTTGACTGTACGAGGAGTTATAAGAATTCTTCTGTAAAACAACATTTTCTAGGCCTCTACAAATTAGTTTGTTTATTAACTGTCCACGATTGTTTGTTAACTGTCCACGATTGTTTATTAACTGTCCACGATTGTTTATTAACTGTCCACGATTGTTTATTAACTGTCCACGATTGTTTGTTAACTGTCCACGATTGTTTGTTAACTGTCCACGATTGTTTATTAACTGTCCACGATTGTTTATTAACTGTCCACGATTGTTTATTAACTGTCGACGATTGTTTATTAACTGTCCACGATTGTTTATTAACTGTCCACGATTGTTTATTAACTGTCCACGATTGTTTATTAACTGTCCACGATTGTTTATTAACTGTCCACGATTTTCAGCCATATGTTATAAAACTGGCTCTTGATCATGCACAAATTCTGTTTCTACCCCCCCCCCCCCCCCTCTTAACCCCCACTAAGTGACATGGATTTATTGCCTAACATTTTCATTTCATAAGATGCATGTTTAGCCTGTCTTATTCTGTTGTTTGTCTCATGAGATGCAGGTTTAGTCTGTCTTATTCTGTTGTTTGTCTCATGAGATGCAGGTTTAGCCTGTCTTATTCTGTTGTTTATCTCTGTGATACATCTTCTGTTGGATATTACCAGAACTACACAAAGTGTACACATTTTGCTAACACTAACTAATTGTAATTAACCAACATTCAATTAACTTACCACTCATTCGAGTTCAAGCTCTAATGATTTAATCAACACTCGGCTGACTTAATCAACGAGCATTCAACATAACCAGCACTTAATAACCAACGTCATCAATACTCCAATTACATAACCAACACTCAGTCGACTTAACCAACATACAATCCACTTAACCAATATTCTATCGACTTAACCAACATATAATCCACTTAACCAATACCCTATCGACTTAACCAAAACAACATCAATCGGTAACTCATATTTATGCACCGATGCTTTGTTTTTGCCTGAATAATTTCAAATTACGTGAACTTCTCTATGTATTTTATTTTGCAGATTAGTCAACCGCTATCTCCTGTTTCGCTCCATGACTTTTTCAGCAACCTAAACGCCCTTTGGGGAACAGATCTGGACGTAGAAAATGATGCATTTTACCTAAATGACAACTGAATCACTTTAAAAGTTGCACTTTTCATGCATGGGCGCATAAAAATAAACAGTGGAACAAATATGTCAGAAAATATTTGTTGATTTTCTTTTCTTGTCTGTAACATTGAATCGTTAGGCTTAAATCACTTGCGAAACTATCTTTCACTTGCGATCAGTTTTTTTGCACTAGATATTTATTTTTTTCAAAAAAAAAAAAAAAAAAAAATATACACAATCGGGTTAAATCTGGGGAAATGACAGTACATGAACTTGTAATCTTTAGCTAACCGATGTGTCAACACAATGGTCAGAATCTAGACTTTAAGATAGTTGCCGCGGCAGATGGGGCTTCTATGATAATGTCGTGTGTGCTGTGTTGTCACATTTTCAATCATTTATAGTCGCCTCCACCGCCTGTTCCTCCTTCTGCTGCAACTGTTGCTTCTTCTTTTTTTTTCTTCTTCTTCTTCTTCTTCTTCTTCTTCTTCTTCTTCTTCTTCTTCTTCTTCTTCTTCTTCTTCTTCTTCTTCTTCCTTTCTTCTTCATGTTCTGCTGTCCCCCCTCTGTCTCCAGATGTTTAAGTTGAAGTAACCACGCCCAAAGAACCGTCAGTGAGGAAGACAGGCAACTAATCGAGCTAGAACAAGACGAATGAATAATAATGCGAGCGACAAATAACATGCGACGATAGTGACGTGTGATGTGTAATAAAGTAACAACAATGACTGTAACAACGATGACAAGTAACGACAATGACTGTAACAACGATGACAAGTAACGACAATGACTGCAACAAAGATGACAAGTAACGACAATGACTGCAACAAAGATGACAAGTAACGACAATGACTGTAACAACGATGACAAGTAACGACAATGACTGTAACAACGATGACAAGTAACGACAATGACTGTAACAACGATGACAAGTGACGACAATGACTGTAACAACGATGACAAGTAACGACAATGACTATAACAACGATGACAAGTAACGACAATGACTGTAACAACGATGACAAGTAACGACAATGACTGTAACAACGATGACAAGTAACGACAATGACTGTAACAAAGATGACAAGTAACGACAATGACTGTAACAAAGATGACAAGTAACGACAATGACTGTAACAAAGATGACAAGTAACGACAATGACAGTAACAACGATGACAAGTAACGACAATGACTGTAACAACGATGACAAGTAACGACAATGACTGCAACAAAGATGACAAGTAACGACAATGACTGCAACAACGATGACAAGTAACGACAATGACAGTAACAACGATGACAAGTAACGACAACGACTGTAACAACGATGACAAGTAACGACAACGACTGTAACAACGATGACAAGTAACGACAATGACTGTAACAAAGATGACAAGTAACGACAATGATGTAGTACAGACCTCCTCCAGGACATGCTCCAAGGGCGGAGCCTGTTTGATGACCTCCTCGTCCAGTCCCGTCTCCAGTTTACACTCCTCTGTCAGGACGGTCTCGGCCAGCTCGCTGGGCTGTGGCCGGACATAATGTTGCTGGACATCGATCACCTGCAAGAGGACAAGCAGATCGTTGGTTAATCTACAGCGGAAGACATACGCGGCTGAGCGTTATTTTTAGAAGTCACAGCATTGCAATAACATCTTATTTCTGATTTCTCCACTTTATTTCTTGTGTAGCTGCTATATGACGGGGCTGGAGTTTTTGGCAAGCCACCAGACCCCAGCTTGTCAAACATGGACCTATCATGTGAGTGCCTTATATTCCACGCATGGGTTCCGGAGCTCAATGTTGAGGAACAAAGAATAGACCCACTGTCCCTAGACAAGCATGTCATAGGAGGCGACTAATTAGGGATCTTTCTTGCAAAGTCCGAGTGCATCTGCCTGAGAGGCAAGAAACCAACAGTCTGCATACGAATAAGATCAGCTCTGCAAAACGGTTGTGCACGCAAAACTCGCGTTCTGGATCAAGACCAAAGTCAAGGAATAGCCGAACTACCTGAACTTTCCGCCGCAGTTTGCAGCCGGTGAAACGCCAATGAGAAGAAATATAATCTATGAAAATATTTTTTTTAACGATGTCCTTATGGGCGCGATATTGTGAACACAGATGTAACCACAAGTGGGTAACTGTATGCAAGATATCGATGTCCCCTTGTGAACACAGATGTAAACACAAGTAGGTAATTGTATGCAAGATATCGATGTCACCTTGTGAACACAGATGTAACCACAAGTGGGTAACTGTATGCAAGATATCGATGTCCCCTTGTGAACACAGATGTAACCACAAGTGGGTAACTGTATGCAAGATATCGATGTCCTCTTGTGAACACAGATGTAACCACAAGTGGGTAACTGTATGCAAGATATCGATGTCCCATTGTGAACACAGATGTAACGACAAATGGGTAACTGTATGCAAGATATCGATGTCCCATTGTGAACACAGATGTAACCACAAGTGGGTAACTGTATGCAAGATATCGATGTCCCATTGTGAACACAGATGTAACCACAAGTTGGTAACTGTATGCAAGATATCGATGTCCCATTGTGAACACAGATGTAACGACAAGTAGGTAACTGTATGCAAGATATCGATGTCCCATTGTGAACACAGATGTAACGACAAGTAGGTAACTGTATGCAAGATATCGATATCCCCTTGTGAACACAGATGTAACGACAAGTGGGTAACTGTATGCAAGATATCGATGTCCCATTGTGAACACAGATGTAACGACAAGTGGGTAACTGTATGCAAGATATCGATGTCCCATTGTGAACACAGATGTAACGACAAGTGGGTAACTGTATGCAAGATATCGATGTCCCATTGTGAACACAGATGTAACGACAAGTAGGTAACTGTATGCAAGATATCGATGTCCCCTTGTAAACACAGATGTAACGACAAGTGGGTAACTGTATGCAAGATATCGATATCCCCTTGTGATTACAGATGTAACGACAAGTGGGTAACTGTATGCAAGATATCGATGTCCCATTGTGAACATAGATGTAACGACAAGTGGGTAACTGTATGCAAGATATCGATATCCCCTTGTGAACACAGATGTAACGACAAATGGGTAACTGTATGCAAGATATCGATGTCCCATTGTGAACACAGATGTAACGACAAGTGGGTAACTGTATGCAAGATATCGATATCCCCTTGTGAACACAGATGTAACGACAAGTGGGTAACTGTATGCAAGATATCGATATCCCCTTGTGAACACAGATGTAACGACAAGTGGGTAATTGTATGCAAGATATCGATGTCCCATTGTGAACACAGATGTAACGACAAGTGGGTAACTGTATGCAAGATATCGATGTCCTCTTGTGAACACAGATGTAACCACAAGTGGGTAACTGTATGCAAGATATCGATGTCCCATTGTGAACACAGATGTAACGACAAGTGGGTAACTGTATGCAAGATATCGATATCCCCTTGTGAACACAGATGTAACCACAAGTGGGTAACTGTATGCAAGATATCGATGTCCCATTGTAAAAAAAAAAAAAAAAGGCCAGATGTAGAAAGGTGGGACCCTCAGGTAGTCAGCATCCGTGTAAGATCGACTGGGACCCTCAGGTAGTCAGGATCCGTGTAAGATCGACTGGGCCTATCAGGTGGGATTGTGGGAGATTATTGGCTGTAAAATATGCCATCATTTTATAACTAGGTCTGTCTCATTACTGCAATGTACTTATGCTTGGGTGGAGAGGAGAGTTGGGGGTGGAAACGGCGGGGGCAGGAAATACATCGGGTAGACAAGACAGACAGACAGACAGACAGACAGACAGACAGACAGACAGACAGACAGACAGACAGACAGACAGACAGACAGACAGACAGACAGACAGACAGACAGACAGACAGACAGACAGACAGACAGACAGACAGACAGACAGACAGACAGACAGACAGACAGACAGACAGACAGACAGACAGACAGACAGACAGACAGACAGACAGATAGATAGATAGATAGATAGATAGATAGATAGATAGATAGATAGATAGATAGATAGATAGATAGATAGATAGATAGATAGATAGATAGATAGATAGATAGATAGATAGATAGATAGAAGGGGAGAGATTAACAGAGAGATAGATGGAGAGGTAGAGAGATATACAGAGAGAAAGCCAAGAGAGAGAGAAAGGGAGAGAGAGAAAGGGAGAGAGAGAAAGGGAGAGAGAGAGAAAGGGAAAGAGAGAAAGGGAGAGAGAGAAAGGGAGAGAGAGAAAGGGAGAGAGATAGAAAGGCAGAGAGAGAGAAAGGGAGAGAGAGAGAAAGGGAGAGAGAAAGGGAGAGAGAGAAAGGGAGGGAGGGAGAGAAAGAAAGGGAGAGAGAGAGAAAGGAAGAGAGAGAGAGAGAGAGAGAGAGAGAGAGAGAGAGAGAGAGAGAGAGAGAGAGAGAGAGAGAGAGAGAGAGAGAGAGAGAGAGTGTATGTGTCTTAAACAAGGGACACGTGTGCAATGTGAACTGACAATTTCTTGACTGAATTTAGATGGAGAAACGTGGACAGAATGGTGACTGAATGGATGTATTGAGACATAGATCTGTTGGTAGTAAGACAGACAAGACAGATCCATCCGACAATTCACCCATCTTTTTGAACATCTACCTAACCACTTGTCTGTCTGTATATCAGCATATGTGTCTGTCTATCCATACATATGTCTGCAATGTTCACTCATTTTCTTGTTCAAGGAAGCAACAATACTCAAATATATCACAAATATAAAGATTTAGCAAGCTCGCTGAATGATCCTACCAAAACCTTCCTAATCTCATTCTCATCCCACTTGAGCCGATGTAAACCTTTTGTCTGAAACGTCGTTATTTTACTACAATCTGGTGGAAATATTTATTTAAAATATTTTTCGAAATGTCTTACTACTTGAAGCAATAAATTTGAGGCAAGGGGCTGCGTGGTGTCAAGGTATGGCATCCGCCTCGAGTGCTGCAGGTCCCGGGTTTAAACCCAGGTAAAAGCTGGGATTTTTGTACGTTGACTTCTAGTAATTTCCCCTGATCTCTGGGTAGTAACACCGGACGCCCGTGTGTATAGCTGCGCACCTAAAAAATCGATTAGCAGTTGGAAATCGAAAAGAGTAGCCTAAGGGCCACGCGCGGGCAAAAATGTGGAGTAAAAAATCCACCCAAAGTATTTCAGGATCCTCGCCGGTGCAACGGAGTTTGTGCACTGCGCTGTGATTCTTAAGATTCCGGCTTGAGTTAAATATAGAACGCAACACTTATGGTTTACATCCATGATGTTGATCCGTTAATAAACATAAACAGATAATCAAACACCAGTTTTAACATCTATAGAATCATAATAATGATCATCATCATCCTCATTATCGTCGTCATCATCATCCCCATCATCATCATTATCGTCATCATCATCATCCTCATTATCGTCGTCATCATCATCCTCATTATCGTCATCATCATCATCCTGATTATCATCGTCATCATCATCATCATTATCGTCGTCATCCTCATCCTCATCATCATCATTATCGTCGTCATCATCATCATCATTATCGTCGCCATCATAATCCTCATCATCCTTATTATTGTCGCCATCATCATCCTCATCATCGTCGTCATCATCATCCTTATTATCGTCGCCATCATCATCCTCATCATCCTTATCGTCGCCGTCATCATCCTCATCATCCTTATTATCGTCGTCGTCATAATCCTCATCATCCTTATTATCGTCGCCATCATCATCCTCATCATCGCCGTCATCGTGGCGCGGTGATTTATGTCACAGGCGTGAGGGGAAGTTAAGTCCAACATGATGTGTATAAGGAGATACTCCGTACGTCACTCGGGAGCCAGTCCTTTAATATCCTGGTTGAACGGAACCTCACGCAAGACCCCGGCAGCACGTCCTCGTCGTGCGCCACGGATAATGTCTCAAATGAGCATTAACAGAGCTGCCAGGGGATCTCGGAGTTTGGCGGCCCCCAGAGGTGATGTGTCCTTGTGGCTCTCATCAGCCCGCCCCCAAACGCTTGGGTGAAAAAATTGTTAACAAAACTCATTAGGAACATGAGTAGGTCTGCCAAACGTACAGCCAAAATTACAACCCTTGGTTAAAAGACTGCGGAATAAAGAGAACATTGTTCACTGCACATCCTCTGTTAACCCTCAGTGTCGTCGTCACCGCGCTGGGGTACACCACAACAGAAACCATCCATGAGCTGGCCATTCATGTACATCCTCGGTTAACCCTCAGTGTCGTCGTCACCGCGCTTGGTACACCACAACAGCAACCATCCATAGGCTGGCCATTCATGTACATCCTTGGTTAACCCTCAGTGTCGTCGTCACCGCGCTGGGGTACACCACAACAGCAACTATCCATAGGCTGGCCATTCATGTCCTTGGTAAACCCTCAGTGTCGTCGTCACCGCGCTGTGGTACACCACAACAGCAACCATCCATCGATCGGATGGCTAAGCCTAAATTTCCGACAAAACTAGATCATACGGATCAAAATCT